TTTTTATTTAATATATTTGATGTCTTGGATATGACAAAATAGCTGATAGATTTTTTAGATGTATAGTCTTTTGATCTTATTCAATATTGTCAATGTGCCTTGGCATTTCCAAAGCATCCTATATATATTATAATCTAAGTAAATATTGATATTTAAGAATATGTAGTCAAGTTTATAATTGATTTAAAATGAATTGTATCTACAACTTATACCTACTCTAAAACAAAAATAATAAAATACAGAAGAAGAGAGAAAAATCTAGTGCTGTAAAAAGTAAAAACAAAAAAAGATTCAAATTAAATGTTAACATGTCTAAAGAGCCTTTAAATCTAGACGAAGCTCTAGACAATAAATATTTTGTTCTTTTATCGCCACACTCAGCTTGCAAAATCCCGAATGCAAGTGATCTTTTAGATTCAACGGTAGTTTATTGCGTAGGATTGCTTTGCACTTTCTATCAGTATTACCGTTTCATCATCCACCAACTTTCATTTATTTGACAATATCTTTCATGAACTTCACATAGCTAGGAATTTGATTTAACGTATCAACAAATGGTATGTTGATATGCAGTTTCTTGAACACATCCAAAAATTTAGGGAACTGCTTGTCTAGCTTATGTGTTGGTAGTCTTTGTGGAATTGGACCGAAGACATGCATACTTTGACACAAACGGTTGCCTTAAAACATGGATTGTCTGAATTCTTTTCTTGATTCACTTTCGTTGGTTGTTCCAACCGATCAACTTGCTCTTCATCCACAGTAGGCACTTTTTCACTAGCAATAGCATGCCTTTTAGGTTGATAATATTGATACAACATCAACACTGTGAACTCCTGTTATTTTTCTCTAAACTTTTCTATCGAATGGCAACATAGCTGAAGTCACGTCTTTCTCTCGTATAATTATATCCTTTGATTAATTGAACTATTTGACGTAGCATCAACTACTGATCGGTAAGTAGGCAACAAACTAGTATATACTTCCTTAGTAACTATTTGATTTTTTCTCATGCCTCGTGAAAGTTCTTGGAGACCACTTGATTGAAGATAGATATATCGTATATTAGCTTGAAAACTTTAGAAGGTGGAAAATACTTGTATGTTAATTTCAGCACCATGTCGTTCCACACAGTGAATTTCTACCGGGTAGTGAATATAGCAATTCTTGTGAGCTATACTTGAGTATATGTGAGAATAGATGCATTCGAATGGTTTCTACTGAAACTCACTCGTATAAAAAAAATCCTTCACTCTCATGTCTTGAAATTGTGAAATATGCTCATGTGGATTCTCATTCACTTTGCTATAAAATCGAATTTGACATGATTCTAAAAGGTCCGATTGCAGTATAAAATTTGCTTGCCCAAAACGTGGATATGTGATGCTGGATCGAGTGTGAACCACAGGTAGGATCGTGAAATCCCCAACTAACATTTCTTCCTCATTTACCAACTCTTGTTCCAATTCTCTATTGGAAAATTCGAAATTGGTTGTGA